TTTGCTTCCAACGGGCAACGGCAATCGGCTTAAACGGTCTGCGTTCGCGGGTTTTCAGCGTTGAAAGATACTCGATCTCGTACTGATATGCCGACAACAAGATTGCCCATCTCTGCAGTCTCGCAGCAGCTAGAGTTGGAATACCGCTTTTCGGACCTAGCAACGTCACTTAAGGCTTGTGATCGGTTACCAACAAAAATTTGCGTCCGTATAGATATTGATGAAATTTCTTAATTCCAAAGATTATACCAAGGGATTGTTTCTCGATTTGCACATAATTTCTCTCACTCTTGTTCAACGTGCGCGAAGCGAATGCGATTGGTTTCTCTTCGCCGTTCGGAAACACGTGTGAAATTACCGCTCCTATACCATATTGCGATGGGTCATGATCAGTATCTAACTTAAGAGGCAAATTATTCTGATAATGCACCAAAACTGGGGCTTTCGCTAATTTGTCTTTAAGTTTTGCGAATGCGTCCTCTTCCGATCTCGACCACTTCCATTTAATCCCGTCACGCAATAGTTCATTCAATGGATGCGTTACCATTGAATAATTGTTTTAGTAGTTAACCATCCCAAGAAATGATCGAAGCTGCTGCTGATTTTCAGGAGCTGGCGCGTCACGAATTGCCTGAACTTTCTTCTCAATCGCGTGCAACCCGCTTGCATCGACCCGGTATCCTAGATACTCAACTGATGGTTGCATGAATTGACATTTGCTTAGCTTCAATCTTAAGCCTGCGTTTTTCAGCCTCGTCAACACCTCGTTGAGATTACTGATGTGCTCTTGATAGTTTTTGCCTGATATTAAAATATCATCCACTCAGCAAACGACCATTGGTATTGCTTGCAATACTTGCTCAATCTCAGACTGGAAAATTGCACTCGCGCTGGAAACGCCAAAAGGTAGTCTAGTAGGTCTATAAAGTCCCTTGTGGGTATTGATTGTTACAAACTCCCTCGAGTTTTCTTCCAGCAATATTTGCTGATAGGCGCGCGATAAATCTAGCTTCGTAAATTGTGCTCCGCCGCTCAAAGCCACGAATAACTCCTCTAAATTTGGAAGCGAATGTTGGTCTACCTCCAAAGTTGAGTTAACTGTCACTTTGTAGTCCCCACAAATCCTTACGCCCCCATCTGGTTTCACTACGGGCACTATGGGCGCTGCCCAGTTAGAGAAACGAACTTTCTCTAACACTCCCATATTTTCTAGTCGATCAAGCTCTTGCCCAATAGCCCCCTTAATTGCATGTGGCACTGGTCTAGGCTTATGAAATTTGGGTACAGCTCTGGGTTTAACAAACAATTGAGCCTTTGCGCCCTTCAGTGTTGCTAGTTCATCCTTAAATACTTCTGGATGTTTATCACACTATCAAGGTCATTACTTATCTTCTTGATTGTAGGCTAATTGAGCCTAATCTTGGAAAGCCAATTACGTCCAAACAGACTCGGACCGCTTCCTTTGATGATTTGTAATGGCAACCTCTCGGTTTGGCCTTCGTACTCAACGTCAACCATTACTTTGCCGAGGACTGTCAGTGGTTCCCCTGAGTAGGTTGACAGTCTCGCGCTCGATTGTCGGAGTGTTGTGGTTGGACACGCCTCTTTCCACGTTTCTTCTGACATCACAGACAGGGTCGCTCCAGTGTCCAGTTCCATCGGGATCTTTGAGCCATTCATCTTGATGTGAATTAGGATTGCTGGTTCAGCTGTTTCGTCCTCCACTTTGAAAATGCTGAAGTTTCCCGCTACGCCTTGCTCGTCTTCCAAGTAACGTACTGGGTTGGAGTTCTTAGAGACATTTCCTCTCTCTGGTTTGGAGGCTCCCTTTTTTCTGCAAACCTTTTGGATATGCCCCTTGCATTGACAGAAATGACACGTTTGATCCTTAAACCTGCACGTTTGTGGTGCGTGGCTTCCACCGCAACGGAAACACGATTTCTGCTCTTTTGGCTTTCTGCCTTGCTTGTTCTGCGTACGTGCTGGTAGCACATTGATGTTTGAGGGCGGTGCCACTGGTCGGAAATGGTTCGCCTGCTTTTCTGCTGATTCCATGGCTTTGGCCGTATCAAGGGCCTTTTTCCAAGTTAGTTCGGTTTCAGTTAGCAGCCTCTTTTGGATTTGTCTGTTTCGCAATCCACAGACAAATCTGTCCCTTGATGCTTGCTCAAGGAATCCTCCGAACTCGCAGCGTTCCGAACACCGTTTTAGTGCTGCGGCGTAGTCCACCATTCCTTCCCCTTCTTCTTGATCACGCTTGTGAAAGTGAAGACGCCCCGCAATAATGGTTGGTTTCGGTTGGAAATGGTTGCTCAACGCTTCCAACAGTTCTACAAGCTTGAATTCTGAAGGCTTGGCTGGGGCCTTTAAGTCCCTCAATAGGTTGTAGCCTTTGCTCCCTACGCTCGTCAAGAAAACTGCTACAATCCTTCTTTTCGTCTTTGAGCTCGTTCGCTATAACGTACTGCTCAAATCGCTTAGAATACAAACTCCAGTCCTCCTTAGCTGGGTCATAGGATTCTATCGATCCGATGGTAGTCATCCTCGTCGCCAGTTGTCGTGTTCTTAACTACTAAAACTACACGAGGCAAGTTGCTTCAATAAACTTCTTTATTCAAATCCCTACTTACAGGATATACTTACAATGATATAGAGTTAAATTAATGATCACGTGATTACATGCAATCCAATAAGTATACACCTAATCATACAAGGGGTGAAATCATCGTCAGTCTTGGCTAATCTACGCCGCCAACAAATAAAATATTCGTTATTATTTTGCAATATGTTTTCACACTCTCCAAATAGATGTCTCAAACCGTGGCAATTAAAAAAAATAAAATGCCGAGGAAACACCAAGAGTGTTGTGAAAGATCTTTCATGTGTAGACGATAGCATTGTGGATCAGCTTTGAGTGCTTCATTTCCATAAGCAAATCAGACCAGCTATCTCACAGGGTTCCTTGCTTCTACAGTAGATTGAAATGAGAAGAAATATTTTATAAAATTTAAGTTGATTTTATTGATCGTGATCCTGATGTGTAAATAATTTTGTTATGAGGAAATTTCTCAACTATGAAGATAGACTGATAAATTTACAGATTGAAATAAAGTTAGACCTTAACTCGCCATTTACGGCCTAATGGCCTTGAAACGAGTAATGAGCTATTTTTCGATTCCAACCTCGCACGACTTCGAGTGCAAAACATTTAGAGCAATTGCAAGAAAGTGCTTCTCAGTGTAACGGGTCACCTGGGTACACGCAGTCATGCTTTTAGTTACGGGAGATAATTTTAATTAATCGTTTCTCAAGCTCGGTGTTCGAGTGAGTTAAAGTTCCAATCCCAATTCCATCATCTTATCAAAATTAGCGACTTAAATTTCCAGTTTTATTCCCATTATTAGGGAGTTTTGGATCCACGTTTGCTTTTGAATACGCGTGACCGCAAATGCTCAGGAGTCACGTAACCAGACTCTAGCGGTCACGTTCGCCATTTGCCGTCCACGTTTAAACTTCGGGCAAGGCAGTTTCAGGTACTTGAACTCCCTCGACACTTTTTTTCTTCCTGTTCGAAAGTTCTCACGTATGTCCCATAAATATATGTGAGGTGCAATCTTTTCTTTAGAACCAATCTTTTCGCTATATTTTGTGCAGACATGGACGCATAAAAAAATGCTCTCTGTATTTCGTCTTCACTGCCCACAGATCGACTTTCGTAACCTGAGAGACTCAAGCAACCGAGGCATCAACTTTAAAATTAAAAGCCGTCTCAATCGTTTTATGTTTTGATAATTGCGCTAATTACTTGATTATGCAAATCGTGATGTTGACAATATGAACCAGACTGGATGGCTTCCGGGTTGAAAAATTGGCCAAAATGGATACTTGTGCCAATTCCACACAACCTAATATTTTCTGATTTTAAACAGTGTGTTCTAAACGTTCTGAGTTATTTGGACTCGGCCTCGAGAAGAGCATATTTCAATTGACGTCACGCTAGAACAACAACGACTTATTGCGAAAATTCTCGTGAAATCGAATTCATGACATTATTAGCTCTTCATAAGGAATATCAACTAGTGACCGTGTAACCGCAGATATATTCCGGAGTTTCTCGGAAAAAGGAATACATTAACGGGTTGATATTGGCCAATAGTATGTGATGGTGGAAGCATTGTGAAAATTCTCGGAAAAAGACGAATACATTAAGCTGTAACTATAAGCCAGTAAGTTTGCTATGGTGACGAAACGATTCTGAGCTTCTTACAGTCTTAGTCGGTTGTGTGGCGTTAAGCCTCTCTGATTTCGCTGCATGTTTATTTTGTGAACTGTTAAGCGTACATCTACTGAACATTAGAAATGAACAAAGCTAGTCACTGCTGGCGGTGTGAGGCGCACTGCACCCAACAATGTTCACGTTGTAGAGTGGCATTTTATTGCTCTAAGGAATGTCAGAAACAGGACAAGTGGCGACATGAACCTGATTGCGACGATGCAGCGTTGAAAATGAAATGTTTGGCTTGTGGCGTTGTACATGAGGGAATGAAGAAGTGTGTAAACTGCTTGGAAGCCGTCTACTGCAGCGTCGAATGTCAACGAAGCCACTGGCTTCGACACAGACCTTCGTGTCAAACTACTGTCGAAAGAGTTTTGAAACTGGTTGAAAAATTGAAAACGTTTAGTGAGTTGAAAGAGAAGACACCTGGTCTCGCAGCCACGTATTACTGGGGCAATCAGCCGGCCGTGGACATGATCAACTTGTCAATGAATGAAGGAGAGGAATATTCCAACCCGCTCGCTTTGTTATTGTGTGGAGTCGGCGATCCCAGAAATGTTCTGCTGACCATTGCGTCTTTGCCTGATGTTTACCAAAAGCAAGTTATGTTTGTGATGAACGACATATGTCCCTGTACTTTGGCTAGAACAGTACTGCTTCTTTACATGCTCTATAAAGGTATGACTCTCTCTATCGATTTGCATTGACTAATAGCCCTTTCCATGTTGTCAGAATACAAACTCTTCGTCATGCATTTTTAAAACCAATCTCGTGAAATGCAAATGAAATCGTTAAATAATTTTTCGTTTGGTTAACCCTTGAGGTCAAAGTTATTTGGATTGATTTCAATATTAAAATCTTTTACTTGTTTTTTCTATTCAAATTTGTGTTATGGTTTAGTGTTTGCTCTTGCAGTCGAATTTATTACGCTTGCTATATGTTCTGTTGCGGTTGTAATAAATGCCGAACGAACTATCAAGTAATTGATAAAGTTTTGAATGCTATGTCGAGGGTAATTACGTATTTTATTGGCTTTTCTTTTCTGGACTTTGTGATCGTTCTACAGAATTTTCGTTCAACCTTCTTACTCAGTCAAGGGGCAAACTGAGACTTCTCCGTTTCGTCCGCGTTAAATTGAACTCTTTTGTCCACTTTCGATTTGATTGCGTTGCATCCACTCAAGGCAATCGTGACAGACGATAGATTAGGGAAGACCACCGTTTAACTTGAAAAGCCTCAGGTTAAAAACTCTTGTTCTCTGATCGCAGGAGGAGATGATATGGCTTCAGCAGTGATTCATATCTGGTACTCGCTGCGTATCAGTGAAAAAGATTTCACTTCGCTGTTGTTAGCCTTACAAGAGCTTGTGGATTGTACTGAGCTGCGTACACTCACTGAGGAGTTTATGGACATTCCTGATGACCAGTTGATCCAGTTGAAAGACGTGTGGAACACGTGGCTGCGCCTAGCACAGCGCGAAGGATCTTGGGTGACGAAGCTACGACAGGAAGCCAACTCGGGTGATTTTGGAAGAGAAGAAGGCATAAATCACTACATACACGCTATTCCCAAAGAGCACAAGAATTCCACCCGAAGGTATTTTGATACCGGTATTTTTACTTCGATGAAAAATACTAAAGAGCTTAAACGCGAGAATCCCACTTTGACAGGTCGTGGATTTCAACGGTTTTTTCGGAACTCTGACTTTCACTACAGCCTACCGACCGATGTACTTCCATTTACCGGGTGGGATTACAATGCAGTCAAGAAAATCTGTCATGACAAATCTATAACGCGAATGTACAGCATCTATATATCGCTTGTTCTTAACAAATCGATGGAAAAACTCAGACGAAATCGCATTAAATGTTACTTCATTCTATCTGACTTCCTAAATGTCGAAGCTTTCTTGCCAGCAGATCTAAGATATGATCGCATCACCACTTCTAACTTATGGGACTATTATCCACTCACTGTTCTACTGACGAAATTCATGGGCATGCTTAATACTACCAATCCTTACGCGGTCATGTCCACCGAGGCAATCAACTGGGTCCGAAATTACATGCCGGAAGTGATTCACATCTTGCCTAATATGATAGGCCTGGATGACCTCATCCAGAAAGCTTTGAAAGACACACGAAACCCTGAGCTGGCTAATTTATCTGGAATGTCGGCTGTTGTAGAATACTTGAACCTAACTCAACAATTCGTCATGTTTCTACGCGCGTCTCTCCTCTTTCCTAACACAGATGAAGATCTTGCATCGTTAAAAGGGAAAAAGAAAATCCCCTCCTTAAAATCTTTGGTTGCCTCACTTGGACTCCATCTACGTGACTTTGTCAGATGCGAGAACACAGTGTTCCCTTTTAAATGGGCCCTGAACTGCCGACGCCCGACCATGTTGAGGGGCTACGAGAGAGCATTGGAATGGAAACTTCTCTCTGCAGATGAGGGTATTGAAGATTAAAAAGAATGAATCGAAAATTGCCCCCTTAATTCTTATTGACCCAACAGTAAAAGAGAAGCATTTAAATTTTGTTGAAATATTCGAACATGCACGAATATATACTCGAACACTTTCGAATGTATTGAAAAGGCTAGGGCCCGCTTTCTTCTCTCTTTTTAATGTGAAGAAGAAGTAAACCAATAAAAATCAGAAAAAACGACCTTTACGAAATAAACTAACAAAACAAGACAATAAAATAAATACATAGATACGACGCGATAAAAAACCTACCAAATGCTGAGGGAAATATAGGAAACACGAAACACACGCTCGAAAGGGGTTTAAACAGAACTAAAAGAAAAAAGTATTTCTAAGGGCTTGAAACGAGAAATGTGTAGGGCATAGTAATTTACATAGCGCAAAAATGACACTGCATAAATGAATGCTGAAGTGAAAAAACGAACAGAATACGCGTAAATTAGTTGGTACTAGAATAAAGCCGAGAAAATGTTAAAGAAAATCAAGAAATCAAAAGTTCTCCACAATACATGTATGTATCATTCCATCATATGAAAGCAATAGTATCAAATTAAGACCAAGAGATCATATTTCTTGATTAAGACTGTACACTGCTGTTAGTGATGCACAAAAAATATAGACTCATAAAACATATGCATCAATTACCAACTTCACTGAGTCAGTTTTTCTTGGTCTTAAAAATTTTATAGTTTGGTTTAACACTCTTGTCAATCCTTGTAATGGTGCTATTTTTTGGTTTTACTCTTCTAAATATCCAAGCTGACAGAGGCCGACACAAGTCTCGTTTATAGCACTGGTAAAAATACCTACATTCCTCATTTGATTGATTTACATTGACGTCCACCTGAGTAAATTTTGTAGATCTGCTCCTTAGCGGTAACACAGATGTTAAGATTACAATCTTCAAGCTTCCTGACCCTTGTCAAATATGAAGAATACTTAAGGACCTTCTGAAAGGCATTTGTTATCATGAAAACAATAGCATATTCAGTTTATGATACTATTAACAGGAAGTCAAATGTTTTATCCAGATTTAATCCTTCGTTGAACACTGATGTGTCTCCTCCGTATTCATTAATTTCTTTTCGGCCCAATTATGAATTTTGAAGGACTTTATAAGACGAATCATAAACATCTAGGACTCAAAAAGGTGACATAATGAAAGTGCTTACTTAGTGACATGGTTGTTGTTGGTATCGAAACACCTCCGCATCACTTCGTGAGCTCTTAGAAAACATTCTTGGACGAAAGTTTCCTCTTAATGTATAAACACCTTAACCTTTCCTTAACCATTCAAGAAGCTATATTATATTCTCTGAACCGTGCTTGTGTCAGGATCACAAAGTACACAAATCATCGGTACTTATGACATATTATAATTCCGCAAAATATTATGATGAAAAATGAACGATTTGCACGCAAGTTGAATACTCACTTGAATTACGCTTTAGTCCAAAGCGGTATCAGCATAGCTAGTCTACCTTCGCCCTGCTAACTACCCTTTAGCCTGAGGTTTCGTTCAAGTAGGCACCGAGTTCCCTGGCATCAACTTAAGAATTAACCCAATCCGCCAACCTTTTTTTTGACTTTTTAAAACATAAAGGACAAAGACTTTCCTTCATGATTGCGAAAAAATTTTAGATTTTATTTCCTTAATTTTAACAAGCATGAAATTACATTTTGTTGTTTTCATCATCATTCTTTGTCATCTCCTTTTTCTTCTAGTTCTTCACTGTTCGTCGTTTTAATATTATTCTGTTTTTTGATTACGGAAACGTACTTTCCTTGCCTACAGATACAAAGCAACTATTAGAAAAAGAAAGCAAAAAAAAGCACAGTCTTTTGTTGGTATTTATTTCATGTGTGTTAGTCAAAAAAAGCGTAATAATTTTTTTTGTTTAGGAGATATATTTACCTTAATTTCCTCCCTATTATTTTAGTCTCTTGCTTTTTGAAAGTGCTGAGAAAGCCAAAGCTCATTTACTGTCATGTGGCCGGTACTCAATATAGAAACCTTTTTATCGCTTTCCGTCTTACTAATCAACGCAGAAATTACCCTTTTTAGACAATTACCATAAAATTGAACACGATGTTCAAACCTCAGTTGGCCAAGAGGTAACTTAGTGTCTGAGGAAATGATCAATTTTATCAATACTCACGCAAATATACAAAAGAAAAAAACAAAGTAAAAGCAGAACCATTAAAGGTAGAAAAAATATGTGGAGGACTTTGTACAGCGGTTATAAGCTATTCCAAGTGAAATGTTCCATGTGTCTTTTTAAATCAGTTGTAACTCTGCAACATGAATCAGAATTAAGAACATGAGAGAACTTCTTCGATGATGTGCCGTCTAAACTATTGAGATCACTGTAAAGATCCGGTCTGAAGATCTGGCGTTAAATGTAATACTTAATGATTTGAAATAGGGTCAGAACTTGGAGAACAAAGCGTTTCATCCCTTCTTAAGAATCCTTGGCACTCAACTTATTATTAGACTTAACAGCCCACAGTTCTCGATTAATTCTTTATGATGCTTTTAGTTCATGATAAAAATTCTAAAAAAGTTGCCTAGCTGCATCTGGCCCGAGTTCCATTTATTCATTTACGATTCTAAAAATCTCGAGTCCGTTTGGAACCATGAAAGCAACAACAACAAAAACGACTAAAAAGAAATGACAAACAAAACAAACAAACAAAAGTGAAAAGAAGCCTCGCTAACAATGTCCAGTTATCTTAGTCTCGCACTAGAGAGGGAAGTTTTATGGCGCACATTTCTTGTTCATTTTACAGGCAAGCACGTCCATTTGCTTGCCATCGCATCAGTCATTTACCACAGGTAAGATCCATAGTTTCTTGAAACATAGTCTAACAATCAACTCAAACATTTAACTTAATTCTATTTAATCAATTCTTACCTTTATTTACTCCTGAAAAACAGTGTTTCCTTCTCTTGTGTCTCTCTTCGTGGTATTCATCTTCTCACACAAAATACTCTCAATACATTTTTTAACCTAATGAAAATTTAATTAAAAGAAGTTCGTCACTTGATCCATCTCGCCGATCATAAATTTTCCTGCATTTAAGTCTGTAATAAGCAAATTGAGATTAACCTGCCGTTTGGGGATAAAAAACTAACTGCTCGCAGGGTAAAACTGAGGTAGCCAATTTGAAACAACAAGTAGCAAACCAAAAGTACCTCAGGAATTCATACATTCTACTTTACATGGTACTGTAACTTCATAGTAAAGCGACGTTTGTAATGTAAATGTAAAACTATATTCATGCAAATTCTTCCCCATTTGCCCTACTTCTGAGCTTCAGACCGCTTGCTTTTGAATACAATGAGTTTTCTTTCGCTTAGCTATTTCACGTAATTTCAAAAGTCTACACAATATAAATACTATACATGTACAAGGAAAATCATAGGGAACAATTCTTGGTCTTTCGGAGCTTATGAAAAAAAAATTAGAGACTTACCGAATCGTCTAGAATGCAGAAGCTCACAAATATGAAAAGTCCTTGGAACGAATTCAATATGGTGAATATGTAATGAAACACAGCTGTTGATGTAATGAACGTGAGAAAGCCAAACGACCACGTGACACCCAGAACTGGCAGTAGCATTGCAAAACGTCTCAACCAATCCTTCACGTGCTTGGCAGGTGTTTTGTTGTTTTTGGTTTTAGTCGCTCTCAGTACCCGACGGAGCAAGAAAATTAACAGAATTGAGTTGATCTAGAGGTAAAAATTCACAAAAAGATTGATAAAAAAAGAAAAGATAGAAAAAAAAACCAAAACAAAGAAAAACAAATATAAATCCTGCTTCTTGTCTCTGCTTACGAGTGTTTTGCCCTGAGTACTACAGGTGTATACGTAGTTTACCATTCCTTTTATTCCTACGATTTTCTCAACCCCGATAAACCTTTTAACTATGATGACATTAAAAAAAACCAGTTTTGATTAAGCCAAAAAATATGATCAGATATTTGTTCGAAAAAATCCTCCAGTGCGATACCTCACATATTAAACGGTGTCTGCTTAAAATATATCTTACACCATAAAAGGAGCACCATTGTTAAAAGAGTATACTTACTAATAGGATTACGGCAACTGGAGCAACAAACGCCCAATAAATGAGCCAATGTTCTGTTGTAAGCCAACAGTTATTTGCTGCATAGAACTTGATTCCAGTTACTGTCAGAGAAATGGCCACTATTAGGACTGGAACACCTGGAACAGCCAGAAATGAATTAAGTATTAAGAAAAGCAACTACCAAATTTTCTGACCTTTTTAAATGAGGCGTTATATTTTCGTGCTTAAAAACGTCCAATGCATATGAGGATGAAAATGTACTTGTTCAAGGAGTGTTGCTCTTACCCCATCCTAGAGCGTAGAACCATTTCTTTTTCAATGCCAGAATTTCTTGCCGTTCAGCCTTTAATATCAGGAAGTACAGCATAACACCATGACATAGCATCCAGAAAAATACAGACAGGAGGGAATAATGGAGTAACACTGCGGCTGTTGTGCATAACTCCTGTGAATGTAAAATAAATCTAGAATATGTGAAAAATATTATAAGATACGTAAAATTAAGCATGAATTTTGATCGGATCTTTTCCATAATCTGTTAAAGGAGAGAAGCACAGATGACGTCACAATTAAGACTGTTCTACTTCCTTATATTGAGCAATTCCATGCTGCCATGCCTCTGTTTTGTATTAGATCACAGAAAACTGAGATGAATTACGAAAATCCATGACACACGGGTGCGCCCCTTTGCCTCCTTTCTGTTCTTACTTCATTTTTATCTCATATTTGATCTATTACTGAACAGAAGTACAGAAGTATAGACACAGTTTTTTTAAAAACGAGTATCGAAACACATTTGATATTTACCTTTGGTCTTTCTGCTTTTCCAGCTATAATAATTAGAAGACAAGAAACCGAAATGGCAGCAAACAAATGCAGTAACATTGTTATCCGAAAACTTCTCAACTTTTTCCAACAGGCTAAGATTGTCACACAAGTGAGCACCAGAAAGAAAAGTGAACATGCGCAACCTACAGTAGAAATATATTTGAAGTACGGCTGATGACGAGATTTTACCTGAAATGAAAACCAGAAAAAAACTGTGTGGGAGTTTTTATGAATTAGGCAACAAGTAGCAACATGAAAAGAAACAAAAATTTAAATAAGTGGAAGTTGTGTAATATATTTAGAGGTAAAAAATACGTTGTGAGTATTTTATTTTGACGACTTGAGACCAGTGACAAATAGAAAAAAGTAACAAATAGTAAATCAAGCGACTTGTTTACGATTCTATTGATAAAATAAAGACAATGATCGCACAGTGTCTATTTCAAAATATCGGACTGAAGAGACTATATATAAGACTCACTGGCTTGTTGTTCAGTAAGACTGCAAAGATGGTTAAGTGATCACACTCGCACGTGGTTACACGCGGGTTTGACTCACGATCAACGCGAACACATCCACGCGTCAGCCACGTTCTTTGCGATTGGTCGATCTCCCAGAAAACGCACTGTCCAATCAAATCAGAACGCTGCAATGAAAGTGTTACGATTAAAACTTAGACAGCAGGATATGTTGCAAAAAAAAAAAAAAAGAAAAGATATAATGCATGAGAGTAATACTAAACTCTCAAAAAGCAACACCAAGCTGATTCATTTCCCCTATGAAATAAAACCCTTTTTTCACTTGGTTTTTAGGACTTACTGTTCAAGAGACGCTTTACCGGGGAAAATTTATATTTCAGGAACCAGTGTCATAAAATTTTCCCTGGAACCTTTATGAAGTTGAATGATGACCTGAACTGCCAACAGCTATCACTGTGCTCAATTGGATAGGTATAGAATAAAAACGATTTATCGACGATTACCCTTATTGAGAACTGAGATCTATTTATATTGTCCAGCGGCATTTTTTTAACCCATAAAACTGACGGGAGTAGGTTTCCCATGCGCTGTTGTTGCAACTCGTATTACTAACAATACAAAACAATCAATACCTTGTTATTGTGATTAAAAGCCAGCTTGATAGGTTTATTCAGCGAACCAGATACACATCATGAATAGTGAAAGAAACAATGCTTGTGCCACTCCTCCGAAGCCTACCTCCGGCGCTCTGATTATTACTGGGTCCATCTACTGGAAGCCTAAGGACATTTTCAAGTGTTCTGTAGGCAATGGTGGACATGCAAGTTTCCACTGTGTCCGAGATCGCTGAGCCAGGAACAAGGATTGTTGCGCCATATTGAGCGAAGTCAACCTTCAACTAGGAGCGAAAAATACAAATACATATTCACTCAGACCGAAAGGTCACGAAATTAATGAAATATGTCACTAAAACCGATTCATAGTTACAGAAATGTTCCTGAATTAACTAACATTATGGTTCAAAGCAGTCTAAAAAGATTTAACATCGACCTTTGACTTGCCTCATGTTTTGGGTTCCAGCGATCAACTCTAAGAGCGATGTTTCTTGATAATAACTCCGATTTATTAGTTGAGTTACCAAGGTTACTGTTCACTTGAAAAGCAAAGTCGTCCATAGTCTTCAGAAGTATGTCAGTGATGTTTCCCCTTTTCTGGATTTTAATAAGTCAAGTTTAAGATAATAAATTTTCTGCAGTGAATGCAAACAATCGGTGAATGGGCCTATGAAGGGTTCCAAAAGCAGCCTTGCAAAATTTAAATCCATTTGTAATTTTTTCCATTAAAGATTAAACAGTCAGGTATTCTTAATTAATAAAAAGAGGGTTTAAAATCACTCAGGGAGATCTTGCTATAAGTATGTTATCTTTCATAGGATTCAGGCCGTTTGTTTAAAAAGCTTTTAGCACTCAACCGGGACTTAAATAATGATTACTCTTGGTCTAAATTTCTCTTGTTTGAGGCTTCATTAGTGCCACGTTCCATCCTAACGTAAAGCAAAAATGAACCGAGGAAACAAAAAATAAACAAAAACAAAAGTAACATTTCACAAGAACCTTGGTTTGCTAAATTATGTTTTGGACTACCCATGCCGGTCCTTGGCATATCACCTTACCAAATAAAAAATAAAAAAAATTGAGTGTACTTCATCATGAGAAACATGGACTTATCCGACATATAATCATATAACGTAAGAGGAAAATACAGCTGGTGATAGGCAAACAAAACAAAGAAAAAGAAATGCAAACTTTTCTCAGGATCAGCAAATTACCTCCTGCAACAGCAACCATGTTTTTGTATTTTCCTCATCCAGTAAATTACTTGCCACTCTCACGATGTTTTGTTGGTCCGATGTTGCGCCGATCGCGCTGTTGTTTTTTATCGAGTTATACTGCACAAGTTGTTTGAGCATATCCACGGAGAGAGAAAGTTCGCTTAAGTTGAGTTTAAGCTCGTTCCCAGTCTTTGTCAAATTGAGAAATTTTGTGATGACCGTGCTTACGTGGGTGGAAGGGTAACTACCGGTGATGATGGCATCAACCTGGTCGACAAGTTAAGGGTGGTTAGAAAGAAAAAAAACATGATCGCTTCAAGATACACTTCTATTCACGAAGATTTTATATTAGCGCTTCAAGATTGTTTGGTTATGGTAACGAAATGCGACGTCACAAAAGGTAACATGATGGCAAAATATTTTGAAATGAAAGTGCTAACTTGCTACTATTTTAAGGAAAATAACCCCCTTCTAACCGACACAAACGGTTCTACTCTAAGTTTTGGAAAAAATCTCTTATGGCGGCATTTTGAACACCATCCTGGCTGGGGTTTTTCCCATGGTGCGGTGCAGAGCAATACAATAAAGGTTTCCTTCTTAGTTTCTTTATCGAAACTTGTACCTAAATTGTAATGTAAAATTCTAGAAGGTATCCATTCGACAATTTCTCGGGATTTTTCGTTGGGAGAACATCTGCAGCGACTGTTTATTTATGAACAAACTTCCATCATGTAATTTGATAGTTTTCTGATGGGAAGTTATCAGAGGAACAAAACAGCCTCATCAAACAGAAGCCTCGACCAATGTACTCGACTCTGTTTTTCCGGCTCACGCCTAAAAAAATCAAACTTGGCCCACGGTATTAGCTTAGAAAACACCCAAGATTTGTATTCCTCTTTCTGTAGATCTGTAATTCCATTTGATTGCCCTGTTGATCAACATGAGGTAATATGTGAATATAAAAAACCATACATGCTTACATATCTTTATTGTTATAGATTTAGT